GACTGGCACAGGGCTCCTTGTGAAAGAGTTCGCCCAGGGAAGTACTGCCGCCTTACCTATTTCTGCCGCCAAGCAGTAATGCTAGCAATACTGTGTTCCGGTTTTGAAGGGTAAGGGTGCTGGTGAAATTATCCGCTCACGCGATACATGCGGCCGTGGACGCATACCACACCTAGAGGTGCCGGTATCGAAGTTTTAACGGGTAAAAGAACTAATATTAATTGCTATTTCGGTAACTACTCTAGCAAACCATAAAGTTTTAATGCTTGGGTCTGTCATTTAAAAAAAATAAACAACTCAAAAATACGTCACGACAATCGTGTGAGTGTTATTGTTTGGGCTGGTGATTTCGGTGTTTATTTATTGAAAACATACCGTAAGTAGCGTTTTTTAAGTTTACCCTGAATATAAATGTTTATAAACTATACCTACTTTAAGGATAATTTCATGGTAAACGAACCACTCAAACGGAATATTATCATATTTATCCAAGTACACCAAAAATTTCATTAGTGCTTTTTAAGTGCCGGATTTGCGGTGTATTACTGCATTTTATATGAGATGTTTTTGTTGGTAGTACGGAGGCTATTTATTTAGCAATGCAGAATAATAATTATTATTTATAAATACTTGTATTTAAACTAATTGCTTTTCTTATTTGCGAAACCAGATAGCCGCCATTTTGCGGTAGGTTTATCCAATCTTTTAAGGGCCGTGTAGGTGGGGGTAGCGCATCGCGTGAGCGGTTAAAGGCACGTGGGACTTGTCAACTTATGTCTCAGGTTGGCGGGCGCAGTGGCAGTGCTCCTCAGATCTTTGCGATTTAAAGCTTTGAGTGGCACTGCTACTGTTACAGACAGGCGTGTCACTTACCACCAGGCGCACGACTTGTTCGACCCGTCACTAAGTATCATAAAAAATCTATAATAATATTAGGGGTTAAAGTATGAAATTGCCGTTTTATTGCAATAGGTTCTTTGAATTTTCATAGAATCTTCATGGTTTGAGGTTTTCGAATGAAACTTTTTTCAAATGGTTTCTGTGATTTTTTTTTTAAATTTGAAACATTTGAATATCGACTTTCAATTGTTTTTGTTATTCAATTTAGACAAGAAAGATGGATACTGCGAAAATTCGAGTGATTTTTGAATACGAGTTCCGACGCGGAACTAACGCGGCAGAGACAGCCCGCAATATCAATGCTGCGTTTGGAGAGGGGTCTACTAATGAACGCACCGTGCGATTTTGGTTTAAACGCTTTCGTGATGGAAATTTCGACTTAAAGAACGAGCCACGAGGAAGACCGCCCACACAGGTGAATAACGATGAATTAAGAGAGATAGTGGAAGCCGATCCTAGTCAAACTACCCAGGAATTAGCGGCATGATTTAACGTTACCTTACCCACAATATTGACTCACTTGCGTCAAATCAATAAAATAAAAAAATACGAAAAATGGGTGCCTCATGATTTGACTGATCTGCAGAAAGAAACGCGTGTTGAAACTTGTGTTGCCTTGTTGAACCGGTACAGAAATGAAGGAATATTGGATCGAATTGTAACATGTGATGAAAAGTGGATTCCTTATGATAACCGGAAAAGAAAAATGCAATGGCTGACCCCAGGTCAAATGCCACAACAGTGTCCTAAAGCAAAACTTACCAATAAAAAGGTAATGGTAACTGTTTGGTGGTCTCAGCATGGTGTTATTCACTATAGTTTTCTCCGATCTGGTCAAGCAATAACGGCAGATGTCTATTGTGCCGAACTCCGAACCATGTTGACAAAACTAGCAGTAAAACAGCCCCGACTCATGAATCGATCTTCACCATTATTGCTCTACGACAACGCGAGACCTCACACAGCACGAGAAACCATTTTGACCCTTCAGGAACTGCAGTTAGAAACCATTCGTCATCCTCCGTATTCACCAGACCTTGCTCCAACGGACTACCATTTTTTTCGTGATTTGGACAATTATCTACGTGACAAGAAGTTTTCTTCCCAGGAGGCAGTACAAAATGCTTTCACACAGTTTGTGCAGTCTAGATCGTCGGTGTTCTATCGCAAAGGCATTAATAACCTTCCCATTAGATGGCAGCAATGTATAGATAATAATGGCAACTATTTTGATTAAATAAATTTGTTAAAAATTTAAAAAATAAACAATTTAGATTTTCAGTACAAATCGGCAATTTCATACTTTAACCCCTATTATAAAACGCCTAAATGGTATCCTCTATTATGAGACCCCATTAACGTTTCATGCACCTCCTATTTTTTTCGCTGACATGGACGGCTTGTAAAATGGAATGTACCTTTGGGGATAAATATTGAACCACTTTGAGAATCATCGTTCTAGAGGCAAGGGTGGTTTTAACTATCAATCCATATACCGATATTATGCATGCGTAAGTAATTCTGTTATGTTTGCACGCCAAAATTCTGAACCAATATTAATTAAGTTTGGTGTAGAGATAAACGGAACCTACAAGAAGGATATTGGCTCCTTTTTGCTACTGTTTGTAAAATTAATTTTAAAAGAGGTGAAATAGAAAACTATGAAAATGTTAATTTTAATACAAAGATCGAATACTTAGAAAAACTTTCTTCGGTCCGGCCAGATTATGCTGCGCTATGCCAACTAAGCAATGGAACGAACCAGTGAACCTCACGAATTTTCTATGTGCTTGTTGTTGGATCTTTGTATTTGGTTTTCAACGACTATTTAGACGTAGAAAGTATTTCTTACTTACTTTACAGCTACCAGACTTGGCTAGAGATGTCGCTATTAACTCCTTATTAAATTTCTATTGAATTGATATTCAATTATTTTTTGTGAAATTACTCCACCAGTTGTTATAATTATTAACACAAAGAACTTAGAAAAAATACCTTCGATCGGGCCGGATTCGAACGACGTCTGAAAATTGACGTATGAACATTTTTAAGAGTATAGTGCAGTAAACTCGCGGCACCAGCTAGTAATATTTCTTTTTTTTTAAATTTTATATTATTCAGATACACTTTAAGAACTTAATCTAGAATGTTGAACAAATACTTGTACGTACAGCGTAATTATGCGAAGTGTAAACATATTTGCGTAAGGATTACAAAAAAAAAGAATAATTGTACCTTTTTTGTAAAAAAACCGACCTCAAATGTTCGTGGAATAACTTCGATTTGCCAAGTTTTATTGAAATCGGTTACCGGAAAGTGTGTGAAGTGTGTGTGTTAAAACACTTCTCACTTTTTGCAAGCTTAAAACTAATGCAAATAAAGATATTAATTTGACAGTATTAATGAGACGACGAGTCGAAATATTTGAGAAAATTGATATAAATTCTACAAAGTTTGTTGTGGAAAAGATCAATGTGACCTCCTGATTATAGTAGTATTAGTAAATCACTGTATTCGGGACATTCACGGGGTTATAACCCCGAATGTCCCGAATACAATAATGTATTATTAAATAATATAATATAATATTGAATAATAAAATAATTAAGAATGTATTATTTGGATAAACATTTAACATAATATTGATATGAACACAATATGATATTTAAACGAAATAAGGTTTTTGAAGATCGTCATCATTGTCAACCTTTTATACATCCCATTGTTCGGCACAGGTTTCTTGTAAGGAAAACATTTTCTTTTTGATAAAGAATTCTCGCTACAATGAATTGAATTCCCACTACAATGAAATTCCAGATACGGAATATCGAGGAATAATAATATTGATTTTACCGAGAACCGAATTTAAAGCGTACAGTTTTAGGTGTTGATATTCTAAATTACTATGGTGATAGTGACAGAATTAATTAATTTCGACGATCTTGTTTGGCACGATGTGGTCTATGTGCGGTCCCGGGTTCGACTCCCGAAAGGACCAATTTGGAAATTAACTTTTATAAATTGATTCAGGTTTGAATGTTTTGTGTATTAACCTGAGACCACGTAATCGATGTGGTTGTTTGGTATCACATTAGGAACAAAGACGCTGACCACAACTAGTATTATAGAAAGTAAATAAAACTACACTTGCCTTTCAGCTCGTCCCACTGCTGTGCACGGGCCCCCGCCCATTCCCGATCCCATTTATCTGTAAACTCTAAAAAAATACCAGGGCACCATAAATAATAAAGCATAATCCGCGCTATGAAACAGTAGAAGTAATATAAAATACGAAGTAATATGTTTCAGGCAAAAGACACAAAGAGGATTACCAGACTTAATATATTTAAATCAAAAGTATATAAAACGTATAAATTTCATTCGTAATGAACCAACTAATTAGGGCTATCTACGCAGAACATAAAATCCTAAATTATAAAGTCCCAGTACACTATATTTATGACCCTTTAAAACCAACAGAGTCACCTTTATGATACCAAGTGGCGGGACGAAAAAGTCGTGCGCCTGGTGGTAAGCGACACGCCTGTCACTCAGAGGTTAAAACCGCAAAGATCTGAAGACAAAGTTGACAAGTCTCACATGCTTGTAATTTTACCAGCACCCTTAATCGTTCAAAACCGGAACGCAGTCATGCTCACATCACCGCTTCGCAGCAGAAGTGGATAAAATGGGACTTCTTCCCTGGACGAACTTTTTTACAAGGAGCTCTACTGCTACAAAAATATTGCAACTTGCTAAAGTAACGACGTTTTGAATAGTACCAATTTAAAAATTCGTACCTAAAACTGGACCAAAATCACAGCTGTAATAAAGTATAAACTCAAACTCAAACTCGGACAAGCTATATTTAAGTACATACAGATCGTTTTTTAAATGTCCATTCTAAACTTCAACTTTTTTAATAAGGCCTCTACGGACGAGAGGGTAGGATTAACTAGCAAACTTTAGCGGTAAAACGGAAAACGTCCAACTGGCAATCATTTGAATTCGCAACGAAAACAGTCTGAAAAAGAAATGAATATTTTGTCTATGCTTAAAATCTATCAATCCAAAACATTGACTCAAAATTAAAAACTCACCTCAACTCCTTAACGCCTTTCAAAAACAAAAATATAAGCACAGATTTCAAATATTTAAAATTCTATAGAGAATAGAAACAAAAGAAACTTCGTAAAAATTTTCGAACACTGCGGTACGTCCGCCCGCGTCGAAAGACCGGCAACGACTGAAGTATGAAACGCTTTTCGAAATTTAGAGGGTTGTGTGCCACCCCTTGATGCATCCCTGTATATATTTCACTAGTCCTTCCACACCTTTTAATAAGGCTCTTTTTCCTTCAAACGTAAATATTTACTTTTGACTTTCTTGCTTTTAAAGTAATCATTTTGTGATATAATAGAACGGGACTACGTACTTTTGTTCACACTAAAATGGTCCGAATTTGTTTCGGGTCTAAAGCCTAGATTTGTGTGCATGTGTTAAGTGCCTAAGTTGTATATTTAGAGGTGTCATACGTGGTCTATACTTCGTCCACGTTACGGTGATAATTGACACCTCATTTGTACCAAAATAGTCTGGCACAATATTTCAGGAACTTGTTTGCTAAATTAAATAGATTTTGGTTGCATTAAAGTCAAAGACAGAATATGTAATTTATTTTTAATATTATAATGAATTGGCAAAATGCCTGTGCGATTTTTTTACGTACGAAAGCACTTATTTTTGCATTTTGCGACTAGCGAACTTTAAATTAAAAAAAACTTCTTTCTGTTAAAATTAGCGCACTGTTTAATAATAAACGAGATAGGTAAGTTCATACTTCGTTAAAAACGCTCAGAAGTTGGGAATAGTGAAGGTTGGGAAAGAACATCAAACTACACACATCTTTTACAAAGCCGTCAAAAATTATTTCATTTAGATTGAGATGCGTTACTTCATCCATCGTATTCGCCTGACATAGCTCCTTCAGATTTTCGTTTGTTTCGGTCTTTAAAACATCAAATGACGCTTAGAGCTGAACTTGACGAGTAAAGACGGGAATTTTCAAGAACGGGAAATTTTAAAACATACTGGAAGACTGGTTTTTGTAGGATGGCTAGTGAGGTTAGTAGTCACTTAGACAGTGACCAAGACTCCAGTCTCTTTCGTCCCATTTTACCACAATTAATTTGGTGCCTTTAAAGCCCAATTGTGTTTCAAAAAAATCATTAAATAATAGAAATAAATACTGAAATCTCTATAGATATCGTGTGTCTTTAGGACACGTGATGTGTTAAACTACTGGATCGATTTTGACGTCAAGTATGACGTCATAAAAAGGTAATAATACTTAGGTTGGTTGATCTTGGTACGTTACCGAAAACATATTTATGGCAGCGCATTGTTATTATAGCACCTCGTGCAATAGGTTTGATCCGTAAGGAACAGATAATCGTCTAAGATCTTTATATATCGGACGTAGTTTAACGTTTTGTTGAGTCGTTCAAAATCCCGTTATTTTTGCAGCGGAAAACTGTACGAAGTAAGAATTATATTTAAGAAAAACCCTACATTTCTCTTTTGTTCATTCTGCGGTAAAAGTTTTGTTTTTAACGTAAAGGTTGTGTTATTACAATGGCTCTACTTCAGAGACACGTGCAAATACATTTCAAAGAGACTTGAATAAATATTATTGATACAGGAATTGAACATCCCCCCATGATCAGTACTAACTACGGCAAGAAGACGATAGGTTTTGAAGAATTGCAAATCGTTAACAAACTGCCCTCAAATGTAAGGGATGCGGAGTCATTTTATTTATTTAAATCAAAATTGTATAAACATTTTAATAACGACAATTCGCTATTGAAATTAAGAGTTAATTTGTATAATAATAAAGTAAATTTGTATCCAATGGTAGTATTTCATTGTGTAGTTTGTACCACGGCTTGGACTGGAGTATTGTTAATTTACTGATTAGTTTTTAAGTCCTCATGTAGGTGACAATTGTCTTAATGAGAATAAAGTAATTATTAATACAAATTGGAACACTTAGAAAAAATTCCTGCGCTCCGGCCGGATTCGAACCGACGTCTTCTAGCAAATCGTGTCAGACGCTATGCCAACTCAGCCACGGAACGAACCAGCGAACCTCACGAATTTTTCTATGTGCTTGTTGTCGTGTGTTTGTATCTGGTTTTTCAACGACTTTTTAGCCATAGCGCCATCTATGAGAAATCTATGAAAGTATTTCGTCTCCCAGTTAGATACCTTTACAGCTACCAGCCCCGACTAAAGATGTCGCTATTCACTGTATTAAAATTTTCATTGAATTGATATTCAACAATTTATTATGTGAAATTACTCCGCTAGTTTATTATAATTATAAATACAACGATCGAACACTTAGAAAAAATTCCTTCGATCCGGCCTGATTCGAACCGACGTCTTCTAGCAAATCGTGCCAGACGCTATGCCAACTTAGCCACGGAACGAACCAGCGAACCTCACGAATTTTTCTATGTGCTTGTTGTCGTATGTTTGTGTTTGGTTTTTCAACGACGCTTTAGCCGTAGCGCCATCTATGAGAAATATATCTAATATAATTATAATAAAGAATAAAGTATCTTTGAACTCAACAAACACAAAGAAAAATTTCTTACATGCAATTGGACTCTACCCAGCGTCTGTCGCCTCAACGTAGCATGTGGTGAAATTATAGGCATAAGAGACTTGTCAAATTATGTCTCAGATCTTTGCGATTTAAAGTTCTGTGTTGCATTGTAACTTCATATGTAAAGGCATGTATCTTAACACCAGACGCACGATACCACTTGGTTCCCAAAAAAAGCAACGAGGCGAATCGAAAGAGTTTTTCTTTGTATTTCTTCGATTTTTGTATATTATTCAATAATAATAGCAAATGTAGTATTTTGATAATAAAATAGATTAATATTATGGTAGTAATAACTTCAGTACAAAGTACTAAAAAAACTGACCACAAAAGATCGAGGAATTACATCTATGTGCCAAGTTTTATGGAAATCGGTTACTGGAGAGTGCGCGAAACCGGATTCATTCCCTAGTTTGCCACTCTTAGAGTTACTACGAGGTATCTTCTTTTCAACAAAAAAAAAGAATCATCAAAATCGGTTCATAAATTTATTAAATTAATTATAAATAACAAGGAGTTATTGCATAACATACATACAAAAAAAAATACAGTCCAATTGAGAACCTCCTCCTTTTTTTGAAGTCCGTTAAAAACATCATGATGTTCAAGCATTAGAATTACATTAAAACTTACGGGTGGATAGAAATCTTTTCATCTATAATTGTTTGGGAATTTTAATAATACGTACGCCGTATATAAAGCTGTTATTTATAAAGTGGGAGGGGAGGCTTTTGAACCGCGAGTCGATAGACGATCCATTTCGTTCCTAAATTAGACAAGCCTCGGGTTTGTGCTGGAAGCTCTGAAATTATGTACTGTGTGAACTGAAACCGTCTAAAAGAAACCTCATAATAAATAACAGCTGGTTGCTGTAGTAATTAGGTAATTTAGGAGCACCTTGTGAAAATGTTTAGCAAAGTACAGCCGTACCTTTTTCCACCGCCGAGCAGAGAACATTACTGTGTTCCGCTTTTGAAGGGTAATAGTGCTAGTGATATACAGTCCCATAGGATTTGTGACCTTATGTCTCAGGGTTACGTGACATTTAAAACTCTGAGTGGCACTGCAACTGTCGCTTACTTTGTCACTTGGTACCATAAAAAATGCTTTGTGATCGCCGTGTTACTGTAGTACATATGTACTTATGAATGTTCGCTGAGGCGCGCATGGATGGCTTCAGCGCCATAGTGCGGAAACGGGTGCTCCTTCAAACGGTGGTCGAGATGAACGAACACTATGTCAATGTCATTTAATTTGTTTGAAAACTATTCTGCCAAATCATTACTGCGCTCCGATTGGCCAGCCCGATTTCGACACAATTGTTTTACTTCAAACCGACCAGTTTGACTTGAGCTTTGCTATAATGGACGATAATTTAATAATTGACATATTTAACATTTAATTACCGATGAAAAGTGATTTCGTTTATTTTGTAATTAGATGTTTTGCTGTTTTTCCCACACCCCGAATGGAACAGCCCCCCATAATTAGAGATTATCTTTATTACAATAAATACAGAATATTTTTGGAATATACGGAAATGAATACACAGGTCACTTGTTGACCCTGTACTATTTCAGCTTTCTAATTTGTGATTTCAGTGCAAACGATAGTTGATATTTAAAAGTGATATGTCCCATTTTCCTGATGAGTTGCCAGGGATGGATGGCCCTTATTTCGTCTCTATTTCTGGTTATTTACTCGATGATTAATAATCATATTTATAAGCTACATTATGACGATACGACCTCCTCCATCGTCATCCCGCCTTTTTATTACCTTTGCTCTGTTTCCTGGCCACTTGTTTTCAAATTTTGAATCGTTCTTTAATTCCTCTACCTCCTCATTCTCACTTTGTCTCGTTACGTCGTCACTCACTACTTAAAGTCTGAAACGAAGACTCCTACTCGCCTTTACCACTAATTTTGTACCGTTTACCAGTTTCCGATTTAAATCACATAACCTATCTAATACCTTTAAAATCAAGTAACCTAACTATAATATTTGTAAATAATACCTCTCTTTCGGGGTAAGTTCTTTATTGTCTCACACATGTTTCGTAGTATTGAAGTAGGGAGTGTTTTTTTAATATTGTACCTGTTTTTTTCTACTATTTTTATTGTTACAGCCTTTCTTCCTTTCTTTACCTTTACTTTATACAATAAATTCATGTGGACCGAGTAATCTATTATTTATTTATTTAGATGCAATATATAAATAAACAGTTCACAAACCATGTACAACACTACAACACTCTTTAGCTTGGAACAGATGACAATAAAATTGTGCATAACATTGAAGTGAAATAGATATAGTAAGATATTCTATTTAAAAATGAAAATACACGCTTATAAAATTAAATAAAAAAAGAGAAGTTTTAGCCAACCATTAATTAAAAATCTATACAATATAAGCAAAATGAACGCATCCTGAACCTAATTTTGAGACCTCATAGACGCTATAAACGATTTTAAAGATTAGTGGAATATATCTACCACATTGCTAACCTTAATATAATTCCTGCACATACGAAACAACGGATCATTGTACGACATGTTGTGTGTT